TTCCACCCTGGGGCATGTGACAGTTGATATTTTCCCCAGGGCATGGAGAAAGCAGAGACCTCCCTTTTCTCCTCGAGGGGATCTGAAAGAACCCAAGCACAAGTCAAGGACTGAGAACACTCTACTTCCTCTGAATTGTCAGAATATCATCAGCCCTCATCATAGGGAAGTCATGACTATTGGTTACGTCATTTATGTCATAGGACCAATGTAAATTTAATGACTCCATTGTCTTTGTTTATGATGTGTATGGGCAAGTTCCAAAAAGAATTACTCTCTTCTATGATTCCAGGCTCCAGGTAGGAGTTTATTTTCTCTTTCAACTTGGGCAATATAATGTGGGGTGTGAGATACCGTGGGCCAAGGGTTAATCCCTTCTGACCACTTACTCGGCAACAGTCTGCAAGGACCACTCACGTTGTCGTTTCAGATGACTCTTCGTTTGAGTGGCAAGGGAGGTGAGCAAGTTGACAGGCGTCCTTTGATAGACAGGAGACAGGTTTAACAAAATAACAAAGCCTTTATTGAATAACCAAGGTTAACAAAGTCGGTTAAATGCAATTAAATATTAGACAAATATACAAAGGGGCAGCTCAGCCTATTCTTGGAGCGAGAAAGAGTTCACAATGCTCTAATAAAAATATCTCTATGAGGAAACGAATGGTATGCGTTGAATGATTCATAGGAATCATAGTCCGGCATAGAAACTGTAGTATGGCAATAAGTATGGAAGTTTGAAGCTGTGGTCTGTCTTCTACTGATATCTTTCTCCTTCCGTCCATTCAAGTCCGTTGTATGGAGGTCTGGGAGACGAGATGCACACATTGACAAGTATAACTTCCTTTGGATCACCCTGAGCTTTTATTAGATTGTCGTGGGAAAGGAGTCACATGATTGTCAAATGTTGACAATAACGGTGTATTCTTGACACCTATGTGTCAACTTTCCCATCTAATTGTTATCATAAATGGTGACTTCTGATCAAAGTCTCACCAGGAGCATTTTTTTCTGAGTCGTTTACATTTCTTTTCCGACAACTGCATTAAATTTGTGGATTTCACAGGGGTATCCTATATTGTTGGGTGTTTATCAGTCTAGACTAGGAAAGCTCAATATCAAGCCAAAATTTTGAGGTTCTTGTTAGGTTTTCAAGCTTTGAGGCAAAGCAAGAAGAGAAGGTATGTATCAAGTTAAACATTTTACCTTGGTGGGAAGGAGTGATATGATATACCTTTATTCCCTTAGGAATTGTAATTGTGGCATGACTCATTGTTAGTGTACACTCAGTACTTTTGTCCTCTTGTGACCATGTGCTAATCTTATATAACAATTTGCATATTACCTCGGACTTTTGCAGGAAGTCAATTCCAAGAATGGCGTCAATCAACGGATGTATTTGCTTTGACACTCCCAAACTTCTGTTTTATGACCTTTCCACCACATGAGAGCTTCATACGAATTACGGGCAGGTGGTTCACTTATCCCCTTCACCGATAAGGTTTCATTAACTATCTCGCAATTATCTCCATCTAGTAGCATCCTTACTGTGTCGAGATTCATTACTGAATCAATGAGAAATCTGACCTTCTTTGTCCCAATTGCTCCTCTGCATATGGTAAACCATTTGTTTTCCATCTTGTGTTCAGGGCCAGCTTACAAACATGGCTGAGCTTGTTATCCTGGCCACTATTGCAAGCCCTTGTTAGTTTAACTGTTGTGTTGTTTTTCTCGGGCAGTTAGGTGGAATATATCCCAGGTGACCACAAGTGTAACACACACATTCTGCTGCTTCTCGGCTCTGGTCTTTTCTGTTAATGGTCATCATTCAACTCATGTTTTCCAAAAGTTCTTCCACCTGTCTTACAAGCTTTTCTACAGTTTCTCTCAAATTGCCTTCCTTGTGTTCACCTGCTCCCTTATTGTCGGAGACATCCTCCTCAGTTTTTGCAGTAGTTTCTGCCATATTAACGTAACATGTGCTCTCGTTACGAGAAAATCTTTGCTTGACCTCATTAGCCTTCTGCCAGTTCAGCTGCTTCATGAAATGATGCCGGTTGATGGTTCAGTACTTCACGGTGTAACAGAATATCTAGCCCCCTAATAAATTGATCCAGAAGTAGTAGTCCTTTGTTAGGTTCAAGATATGGATTAGCCTCAATGACTTGGTCACTTGCCCATAAATCTTTCTGTTGCTTAATATCTGTATATTGTCTTAAAGCCTCTCCGCTATCCTTCATGCATTGTCAAAATTTTCTAATGATTCTTTCCCTTATTATATCATAGTCTTCTCCATACATAGCCTGGGCCTCATTAAGAAAAGTTAGAGGTTTCCCTTTTTAACCTAGCACTGGCTATTGTAAGGTAATCCGACTTTTTCTGTGTGGCTAGTTTAGCAATGTTCTCAAATTATAAAAAAAAATTCTCTAATTGAAATCATGTCTGATGGGTTTCTTGTGAATGTAGGGACCATTCAGAGGTATCCAGCAATTAATGGTGGACACATTGCCTACTATTTTGCTGAACTAACCTGGGTTTTGAGTTTCATTTTTGTTGAATGTGTTTTCACAACTTTAACCATTATAAATTGGCGTAAAAATGGAGTCTTGAGAGCAAATCCTATCGTGGACACCAACTATGTGAGGAAGTACTCGATCTTTAGAGTATTCCCAGTGCAGGAACAAAACAGAAACTTCAAAGAAATAAAGTGCACACTCTGACTCCAATGCAAGAAACTTAGTTTATTTTAGTCCTTCTGATCATTTCTCTGTCCTTTTGCTATAACAGACACTAAAACAAAAGAAACAACATGCAAAAAAGACAAACTCGTGACACTCTCTCATCTACACGTCCGTCTTCTCTCCTTTTTCTTTATTTCCCTTTAAAAAAAGTCCCACTTCCTCTGTTGAGCATGCATGATATCCCTCTCTCCTTCCTTGATCTGGGTTTTTCAGTTGTCCTCGAGAATATCCATCCCTTCTTTACCCTGTGGCCCACCCAATGAGCTGGTTATGCAACAGAACACGTGGTCTTCAGACCACAACGTATTAAATTGACACAATTGTCTGAAATTAAACATATGAGTTAGAAAAAACATGATTCACTGACTTACATTCAAAAAACCTTTCTAGTATAGATTAGGCACAGGGTATTGAATTTTTTTTATGTCAATAGGAACAAAACGAATAAACAAATCTCTGATGATATAAAACTCATTTACATGTGTTTATAAAATCGACACTTTAATTGCGAAATATGCGCAATGCTGGATTATGTAAAAATGAAATATAAATTCCGCCCAATCCTGCATTAAAAAGAAATGATGTAAACAATATATTGTGTTTGAATAAAAGTATTAAAATATTTCTCTAAGAATAATTTAAATTTAGATTAATTTTATAATTTTTTAAACTTTCCCTTGAACATTAACTTTTTTTACTACTGCCTGGCAGAATTTTCTGTCTGACTCTTAAGGTGTCTGTCTCACCCGGCAGAAAATTCTGCCGGGCGAGACCAAATGTTATGAATTCAATTTTTATTGAGAACTATACATCTTAGGCTGTGTACACATTAGGCATTTTGAAACACATGCTTTGGTAATGCGTGTTTTAAAGACCAAGAGTTCTGCATAGGTATACATACTCAAACGCACGCTTCTGGCCAAGCGTGCGTCAAACGCATGTTGCTAGATTTTGGTTAGAACGCGCGTTTCGCGGGCATCAGCCACGCACTTTGAGATGCATGTGCTGCCATGTTGTTGTACATTCGATCACGCGCTTTCGGGTAGAGTGGACGTACATTGGCCGAAGTGGAGAACGATCATTTTGATACTGATGTATTTATTGATGAAATCTAAAAGAGACCAGCCATCGTCAAATGATTTTATAGATATTCTAAAAGAATTAAAAAACTTTGGTTTATATTGTCTTAGTTTTGGATACAACGTCACAAACATTCCATGCATCAGTCTATCTCGTAATATTGGGTGCACCCAAAATTCTCTTTGCCTCTGCCATCGTCTTTTATAGCGACGATAGAGGAGCCATACACAAGCAATTACTTTCACACCCATTTCCAAACTGAGCCAGTGCGCACGCTCCACTAAATGATTGTCGAACGCCGAGCTAACGCACAGTGTGTATGCTGTTAATGTGCATTTAATGCAATGCAAAACGCCTAATGTGTACACAGCCTTAAACATAAGCAGTATTTGCAATTGTTTTCTTCTGTTTTTATTTTACATAGTTATTTTTGATTTGGCTTCTATTTTTAAATAAATTTGTCATTTTCAATTTTTTAAATAAACATACTGATTAGATAAAGTGTCATGTTTAATATTGAGGTAAATGTTCCTTTTTCTGTCTGTTTCTTTAATTTTTTTGCTAGTTTTTGTGATATCACAAATTTATTTAGTTCACTTCATATTTCCATTATACTTTTTGTAATTTCTGATAAATTTTTTTCTGTAAATGCAATATATTGAAGTCAGTTCTTTTATTTTATATTAAAATAATTGAAAAAGATTGTTGTACTTCAAATTACTGTTTTTCATATGATTATAAAGAGCAGGATTATTAGCAAAATCAGCTGGAGGTTATGCAGAGTGATATTACATTTGAGTGATTTAGCTACAAATATAAAAATATGAAAACCTGTTTTTTTCCTTATAAAAAAAAGCTTATTTTTCTGTTACCAGTCATTTAAATTAGTGTAATTGTTGTATTGTACTTGGAAAATGTCTCTAATACTAAACAATTTGTTTTGTCAGATTAGATTAGATTAGATTAAATTAAATATTTTTAAAATTTAATTAGAGCAAATAAATTTGATTATAAATGTAAATTTTTTTTAATGTTTTGTACTAATTTATGTCCCATTTATGTGTTGTTTATCGCTCTGTGTAATTTTAATATTTTTATTCAATTTTTTAAATTTAATTACAAAATATAAAAGAAAATAATTTTGTAAACAAATCTTAGTTCAAGCCACGTGTTTGTGGTCACATGACCACAGAAATACCTACAATGGGTAATGTGATGCCATTCAATTTCTGTGGCATTCTTGACATAGAAGCCATCTAAGAAATCAAACTGATTTAAAATATTAAATGTTTTTCGTTATTTAAAAGAATTATTTCAGTAAATAAATTTGAAGAATCTGGTTTGATAAAGTTAAATGATCGAACGATTTAACGGTTATGATTTGGTAAAAATTACTCACTGAGTCTTAGGATGGCTAATTTAACGTTGGAGACAAGAAAATCATAAGATCTTCGTCTCAGTCAGGACTTGACACCAGATAGGGATGGAATTCGTGCCCTATCACACGTTTAACATATTATTAAAAGGAGAGCTTAAAATTTAGCAAGTGGGGAAGATGCAGATAAGTGATAGGATGTCCATTAGGCATTAAGTCAACGACACTTAACAAGGAACAACAAAATTTAATAATATAAAGACGGAAAAGAGTTTACAAATAAAATATCTAAATATCCAATCTAACCTATAGAGAGTTTACAATATACTGACCCATAATATGAGAGATACAAGAGAGAGAGAGTTTACAAAACTGATTATAATACCTCCTTAATAATCTCTTGTCTTGTAACACTTGAGTCGAATCGTTGACTACAGAGTGCTGGTACAAGTTACAGTATATGCAGGGAAGACTGAGGGAACCTGGCACAAAATTATAATATAGAGAGATACTATATGATATGCTGTATATTGTGCACGGAGTTTGGCGCGTATCCCCTATTTATACCTCAACTCTCCTCCAATGGAGATTAAGATTTTTAGACCATCTGACGGGATGTCATGATGAGTCTTTTGGTTATTCAGCTACTTAGTCATGGGAGATAAAGATCTCTCTCCTGTGTTGAAAGCTAGTTCCTGAAACATTTATTCTTTGTTCTCCTTGCTGATTTTTAACTTTTATAAAAATATCTAAATATTACTTTAAAGTTTAAAATATAAATATGCCTTCAGAATTTCACAAATTCATTGTTTAGAAATTTACCATAAATTAAATTTAAATATATTAAAGTAATGAAATTGATGAATTTTATAATTACAATATGATCATGATAAAAAAAATATAGATAATACTTTCTAATTATTATTGTGTAATATTTTAATAAGTTAATATTTTATATATTACAAAAAAAACTTATTTGTGTATGTAAAAGATAGTTACTATTGTGTTCTCCAGATGGCACCAATGTAAAAGTAATACATAGATTACATTTTCACTTCTTTTAAATTAAAAAAATTCAACATAATTCAAAATTTGTGAAAATATGCAATTACTAGCTGTTACCCGCGACTTCACCCGTGGAGGTTTTGCAAGCAAACCCCATTTATATTCAGTATTTCAACAACCATAGGTGCTTATTTTCTGACATTAACGGGTTGCAGTCTGATTCTGGCTAACATCCTTTTTGCGAGCATTCGTAATTTTATCAGATTAGAAATACCCATAGGAGAAGAAAAATTAGTTTTGCATTACGGATGGAGTTTCTGGCTCACGCTCTTTACAGGTTAGTGAACTTTAGACAAAGAAGCTTGTATACGATTATTAATTTGGATCAATTCGAATAGGTTTACTGTGTATCGTTCTTGGAATAGCCATTTTGATATTAGATCTTAGAAATCCAGACATCATTTCAGCCTTCTTTGGAATTGATATTTTACAAGATTATGAAGATTTTTATATTGGTACGATTAAGTATTTTGGAATTAAAATGCGCCATTGCGATTCATAAGTAAAATTAAATCGAGTTTTTATATTTTTCAGCCGTTGAAGATTTAGGAATTAAGAGAACCGAACTGAAACCAGAAAGTGAAGAAACTCCAAACGAGGTAAAACTAGGTCCTTATAAATGTACTCTAAATTTTCGTGATATTAATCCTCACTTTATTATTCTTTAGGAAATGTACAATATGAGAAAACGTAGCATTTCTATAAAATTTCAACAAAGACCATTCCAAAGACCTTTGCCAGCTCCACGTCATCTGATTGTCGAAGAGGAACAACAACCTGTTTATGAAAATCTGGCGGCTGGAACGTAAGAATGATCTCAATCTGACAAATAATTTCTAACCGCATAAAATAATAATCGTATGAAATTTTTATCGATAGATTTAATACCATCGAAGAAGAGACGGAAGAACACGAAACTGTTCCACTTCGATAATTTCTAATTTAGTTTACAATCATTATAATTGTATATTTATTACGTAAGGATTGTTTCAAGATTTCACAAAGCATTTTCAATTAAATTTTGAAACTAAAAGACTGGACATGTTTTGTTATTATAGCTCTTTCTCGATTATTGTGAATAACTATCAAAATTTATTTTTTTAAATAAAGTTAGTTCCTTTTTTTTGAGTTTTCAGTTTTTATAGATATACAGTACTTAATTAAAACTGTTACTGCAACAACCAACAATAACAGCCTTAAGTATATCCATAAAAACTGGTGGAACCAGGTTGAAAAGTAAAGCTCAGGGAAAAGATCTAAGTAAAGAAAACTTGAAAGTTGTGACATAAGAACACTGGAAGCAGATTTGACAATAAAATTAACATGTGAATACACAAGTGCCCATTACTCAAACTACAGTAGACCTCCTATAAGACTGGTTCCTATAATTACGATTCCTATAAGACGGCGAAAAAATTGTGGCGGTATCCGTACACAACGGTAAAAAAACTCCTATAATTACGTAAAACGTCATCGGGCAGCCGAACTATTTTCCCGCCGTCCGTAGCGCCACGCTACGGACGTTTAGGCGGGTAAATTGAGTTTAGTTTCGTCTGTACATATAATTATATATAAATTAGGTACTATATATATCAATATATATACAGTGGTGCCTCGTATAACGTACGTCTCGAATAACGGACGCTGCGAATAACGGACTTTCTGTTTGGCCGTTACCTGACTCGAGCAACGGACTGGCTGCGGACTTTCCGTTCGGCAGTTACGTGAGGCGACCAATGGACTTTCTAAGAACAAGTGAGAATGATGTTTCCACTCTTTTGCCGTTGCCAATGACAGTCTGCTATTTTTATAATATATTAGTATTATTAGAATATATTATTAGTATATCTGAAGTACAGAGCTCCCGTTG